TATATATATATATATATATATATATATATATATATATATATATATATATATATATATATATATATATATATAGATCGTTTAGAACCAAATAAAGACTGGTTAGCTATGTTCTTTTTGAATAGAGTGGGTCGATCTTTCTTTTTTTGAGTTTTTTTAATGATCAAATATGCTTTACTCTAGTTTTTTTCTTGTTTGAGAGTGAATTAAATATTTCTTATGAGTGGGTCAAATATTTTATTTTTAATGATAGTGAATAAGATTTTTTTTCTAATTGTTAGTGTAAATTATGGTTGTCCAAGTTATGATCGAGATTTAGATCCAATCAAAATCCATTTCAAATTAGTCTTGCTCAAAGTCACTATATATAAAGTATCAAATCTGATTGAGGGTGTTTCCGATAAATACCCCATTAACGATCAAGTTAATTCTTATGTTCGATCTAATTAAACTAGTCGGATTGCTCGACTAATACTAAAGTGAACTAGTATTTGAGAGCATACATAGGAATCCCTTTTATAGATGATTATGAGGCAATTATGCTAGGAATCGTTGATGATATAAAGAGAATATGCGACATTTTTGGACGAAGACTAAGCGTGATGTTTGTTGAACGTAGCACCCACGTAGGTTACTCGCACTAGTCACAAGTTTAAATGATAGACAGTTCAGTTATATATCATCTCGTGATCTCACGATCTAACAACCATCTGTTAGCCACATGTGATCCATTTGTTCTTTATCGATCGACCCGTTAGCTCATTAGTTGGTTAGCTCGTTTGCTCATCGATTCATTGATATGTCTACCTATTGACCCATTGATAGACGATCCATCTATCATGTGTTTATCGTGTCATTTCTTATTTATCAAAAATAAAAACATTTCAGACTTTTTTCTTTTTGGCTCGCCCTGAGATTGAGTTGGAGCACTTTTTGTCAACAATAAAATGAGTCTGACAATATTTTGTTCAAGAACAGGTCAAACATTTTTATCCGACCATAGTGGTTCGAATAGGCGAGGGGTGTACGTCGTTCTATTTCTTTTTAGTTGTTTATGTGAGATAGAACTCATCTTATTAGATGAGTTAATTAGAACCAAATCAAGTCATCATCGTTGTAGAGTACGATTGCAGCATTAGTTATCAACACAACATACCGAAGACGACCCTCTCTAGTTTATTTTTTGGAATCTTGTCATGTTTCCAATATAGAGTAAGTCTGCTTTAAACTAAAATGAGAGGTGGATGATTGACCAACGAGGTGGGTCCCACAATGGATGATATATGTTCACGTATTAATCGAGCAAAATTCTCAAGAATTCAATTGTTCATTATTTATCTTTTACAAAAAAAATTATTATTCAGATTATTATATATATCCGATATTATTTATCCAAATTAAATGAACAAAAATAAATCCTACGAGTTTATTCTCCTAATTACTGGGTCGTTTATTCTCTTAATTGTAATCGGTGCTCAAAGAATACTACTACTACTACTCTTAGGTGTTATTTTGGCATGTCATTATTCGAGGGTTGGGTAGATCAACTACCGACGATAGGTTGGAGACCCGGTGTCGTGTCGCCACGGCACAACGTTGTCATCCACTTGCGTTGAAGGGCCCCACCCAAGTGCGGGCCCACCTGATTCGTCCGTGTTTCCCATTGATAATTCGAATCGTCTGGGCGTTGAATTCATTCTGAATCCGATTCATGTATACATACCGAGCCTTACCCGTTAAATTTCGCTCGAGTCATCCATCTCAAACCCGATCGGATCGCTCCCACCTGATTGAATGTTGGCATGCCTTCTCTACCCATTTCTCTCTCCAGGGCTAACCAACCGATGAATTCCGTACCGTCTCCTCTCCTCAACCGCCGGTCCCACCTACTGGTACGAGACTGTATGTACACTAAAACTATGGACACATTTTTCTTGTAAGATTAGGTTATTGTGTGGCCTTCGCTTTATATATAAAAACAACTTATATGTGGTTTGGTATGAGAGAAAAAAACAATAATCTTTTTTTTTAAAGTAAGTATATGCGGTTTTCGGAGAGAGAAAAATAAAAAAGACTCAATAAATGATTAATTGATTGAATGGGACTGACATCGGTGGTAACGATGGTAGGAAAATAATTATTCATCATCATCGAAATGGCATGACTTATAGGTTTGGTATTATTACTAGTCGGGAGGCCCATGATGTCGGATTCCACTGGCTGCGTCTCCCTTATCCTGACCGGGAGTGACGATAATGTGATTCAGCGCACCACGTTGTCATCGTCCCGTGATCCCGTTCTCCGCCTTTGACCCCTTCCTGGGGCGACCCTGACGCAAACCTACTCCTCCCTCTTTCTTCCCCTTCCCCGACTCCACCAGTCTTGTCGCATTACGATCACTCTCCCTCAGCCCATCGCGCACCTAACCAACGCAATGTGGCGCTCCTCTTCCTCGTCTGCTCGCTCTCTCTTCCGCACCCTACTCGGCGGCTCTCTCGGGACCACCAGCTGCCGCCCCGCGAAGCGCTCGATCCTGCCATCCCTCCCTCGTGCCATCCTCTTCTGCTCCTCCTTCTCTGACTCTGGTTCCCGTTCCCCCTCCGCCAACGGTGGAGCCGGCGGCAGTGGCTCAGCGGACTCGATCACGTTCGCGGAGGCGAAGCGGCTGATGCGACTGGTGAACGTAGAGTCGCTCAAGCGGAAGCTGGAGAGGGACGGGGAGGAGGTGATCGGGTACTCGCAGCTCCTGGAGGCGTGCGAGGGGATGGGGGTGGCCCGCTCTCGGGAGGAGGCCGGAGCCTTCGCCCACGTCTTGGACGAGGCCGGCGTCATCCTCTTGTTTAGGGATAAGGTATATCTCCACCCGGAAAAGGTAATTCCTCTCGCCCCTTTCTTCGATTGCTCGTTCCTTATTTGATTTCCACGTCGCATCTGCGTGGTCCTTAGATTGATGGGAGCCAAAAATTCGATCTTGTTCATTCTCCTGCGCAAAATTTGATTTTTGTTTTGTTTGAGGAAAGATTGAATTTTGTTGTCCATGAGTCTTATCCATGTGGGTTTGATAACTATCTTTCGGTGCTTTAACAGAAAAGATCACATCTTCGTAGTGCCTGAAAGAATTTAGAAGCCGATGGATGTCCAAGTGAAAATTTTGGTTTTCTTTCCTTATTTCCTTTAATGATTCCTTGTTTAGATGCCAAGTAAAGAATTCCAAAAAGGATAACAGTAGATCTAAGAAGTTCTGATAAGTTGCTTCAGAATTTATGAGTTTTCTCTAACTTTATTCATGCTAGTCTCGATGGGCTAATTACATATTATCATGTAGTTTTGCATCCCGGTTCCTAAACTTCAAAAATTTATATTACGATCCTTATAGTTATGAGAGTAAAATATTTAACTTCATTTATCCTAACGTCATCGGTTTTATCGATGAAAGCGTACAAACAATTGGCAAAAAGTTAATTTCAACGTTTCAGTTATGTTTTCAGTGATGGCGGACAACGACATCGCTGAGGTCACGGGTGACTGTTGTGGATGAGGAGGGAGAGTAACGATGAGAGGTAAGGTGACAACACAGATGCTAACGCTCTGCATCTGCGTCGGTGTCGCTCAACAACTACATCGATGTCGACGCAGATGCAGATGCAGTGATGCACCAGTTGGCATATGCATCTGTGTCGATGCAGATGTAGAGCAGCGAAACGGCCGCTCAACATTTGCATATGCGCTAACGCAGATGCAAAGCGGCGTCGACCTTCCCCGCATCGATGTCGGCGCTGACGCAGATGCTGAGTGGCGTTGCTCTTCATCTGCATCCGTGTCGGCACTGATGCAGATGTCTAGCAGCCCTTTCACCGCTTTGCATCTTCTTTGGCATCGACTCAGTTACCGAGTGGTGCCGATGCAAATGCAAGGCGCATTATCATCTGCATCGTCGCCTCACCTCTCACCATCGTTCTCCCTCATCCACAATAGCTACCCATGACCCCCAACATTGTCGTCATCCACCATCAGCGAAAACATAATTGAGACGTTGAAATTACCTTTTTGTCCATCATTTTTGTGCTTTCGCCGATAAAACCAACGGTGTTAGGGTAAATAAAAATAGATATTTTACTTTCATAATTATAAGGATTTCAATGTAAATTTTTTAAGTCCAGGGATCAAAATGCTAAAGAGGTCTAACTGCAGGGGTAATCTGTAATTAGCCCTAAGTTGCTTCAAAATTTATGAATTTTCTCTATCTTTATTCATGCCGGTCCTGTGGGTTTACGAGTTCTGATAAGTTGCTTCAGAATTTTGTGAATATATGGTATAACAGAGGATCCACACTTTGTCTGTGGCTGAGTTGATGGGAGAACACTGGGAACTACCTTCTGCATTCATTTCCTGCAAGACATCTGTCAAATCATGTGGTTTAAAAAATTACCATTGATGACTTTCCATATTCCTAAATAATGTCTGATCTGTAAATTCTTTGTTTGGAATGCATAATCTGAGACCAAAGACATAATTACAAGTCAGTTTGCATGTTCTTGCTTTATGGTTTAATTGTTTAGTCATTGCGGCACAGGTTTGACCGTAATAATTGTGAAATTTTGTGACAGTTCAGTTTCTTTAATGAACAGGATATCAGCTTAGGGTGGTTAGAATTCTCAAATATCATTCATTTTTACCCATCATTTAGTTTTTGTCCGTGGCTTTTTGAAGTCTCTCTTTGGGCTTTTCTGGTTAGCCATAATTTTGGATATTTTAATGTGTAAGAAAGCAAAATTTTCATCTGTAATAGCTCTTATTTATCTATAGTTTCATTTAGGGAACTTCTGTTATTTCAATTGAAATCATCTTCATTTACTGGACATGTCAAAAATAGAAAGGTGAACCTTTTCATGTTTCATGTACTTGCTTATTGGTCTGATCACATCACGTCCAATTTAAGTTGCCCGGTATACTTCAAATTATAGTGCATCACACTTTGTATTACACACTTAAAATTTACATTTCTGCATGTTACTTTCTGACTTGGAAAACAGTCCTCTCTTGTGCCACTCCTATCCAGTTGCATATAACAGCTAAGTTTTACTTCAAAATTTACTGGATTTTGATAAGTAACACTAAAATGTTTGCCATGCTTATCAGTTTACCGTTCTTGCAAATCTAAATTAGAACTATTAAAACCTTTTTTTTTTCAGTTTCTCTTTTGTGTTGATTGACTCAGGTGACCAGGGATACCATGTGGGTAATGGACTTTGTTTAACACTTTCTCAGAATATTCTTGAGAAAAAAGTATAAGAAATCATCTATGTCATGTTTTAGACTTTTGGTATTGAAATCATGTCCATGAACTGCTTTTGATGATGTGATCGACCTGCTGCCAAGGTTTAAAGTCCATGTTCTTTGTCAATTCACAGACATACACAATAATTTGTGCTCACTGTTAATGTCCTGAAAAACTGGATGCTCATCATGTTAGTCTGTTTCCCATAGGTTGTGGATCTTATAAGAAGGGCTGTCCCTCTTTCTTTGACACCTGAGAATGACCCAAGGAGAGAAGAGTTGAAGCAGCTGCAGGAGAAGAAACAAGAAATCGATATGCTTGCTCACAAGCAAGTCCGTCGCATACTTTGGTTAGGGTTGGGATTCCTAATCGTTCAGATTGGTCTCTTCTTTCGGCTTACATTCTGGGAGTTCTCATGGGATGTCATGGAGCCAATAGCCTTCTTCGCCACTACAGCTGGCATTCTTTGTGGATATGCCTACTTCCTTTTTACATCGAGAGATCCGACATACCAAGACTTTATGAAGAGGCTGTTCTTGTCAAGACAAAAGAAACTATTTCAGAAGCATAGTTTTGACATTCAGAGATATATTGAACTGCAGAAACATTGCAAGAGCCCACTGGACAAAGTAGTTACAGCAGAGAATATAACTGAGACCAACGTCCCTCATTTTCAACATTTTTAATTTACTAGTAATGATCTTTATTTTCAGAGCTTTCAAGTCTTTTTAATGCTTTGAGGCTATAATACCACAATTTTTGCTGTTTCTGTAGCTGCCTTTTAATTTATTGTGCTGTTAATCCTGAACATGTAATGCCACTGAAGGAGGCTGCAGAGTGATTTTGTTTACATCAATCATTTCTGACAAATGACTGTTATATCTCTTTACATGCCTGAAAAATCATGGTGTTCTTCTTTTTGATAAATTGCTGAAGATCTCAATGTGCTCCATTTTTGTATAGGTAATCTAATACCCAATTAATTTTAGTTAAACACCCTCGTAAACCTCAATTAATTTTAGGTAATCATACATAGACTCTTGCTATCATTGTCTCAACCTAGGAATTACCAAAGTGCTAGTAGAGCTTACAACTTAACTCATGATCCAAGAAAACTTGAAGAATCCATCATATTCGATACCTAATTTTCTCACACTAATTTTTCCTTCCCATGTAGGAAAGAAATTTGGTCCTCCAAATTTGTTTGAGGTGTTACTTTGATATCACACATTCTAAAATTTTGAAAATAATCAAATTTCTGTTAAAACTAATCCAAACCTCTCAAAGCTTATAGGCCATCAAAATCGTTACTGGTTTCGGTATGGTTTAACGATTTAATTCATAGTGGTATGAGGTAACCACTACTTTATCAATCCATCATATTTAATACCTAATTTTCGCTTACCAAAACCATGGGTCTGACACTTTTAGATAATAATATTAAAAATTATCATCCATGTATCATATCATATGCTTGAAATCTCCCAACCAAACTTGCAATCTGATTATTATTATTATTAAAAAAATGAGAAAATTATCCCTACTTGAAATATTTGGAGAAAAAAACACAATATAAAGTCTAAATCAAGAAACAAATGAGAAGAAAAGAGAATAATAACAATATAAATAAGATGACTATAAGTCCACTACTGCTTTCGTGATTGAAAGAACATCTATTCTTTCTTCTTTCTATGTAACCATAAAGAATCTTATCACTATATCAAAAAGTAATAATGTCTGGATTGAAATTAACTAATAATAGATCAATTTTTAATGCATACATTTTGATATCATCTAAAAAATCTTTCTTTGATATGTGAGGATCTATAAGGGTATCATCATCGGATTTAAAAATTATAGTGATAATGATATGTAAAAACAACTAGACTCATATTTTCATTTCTTTCTATCGTTTACATGATCCTATAATCCATAGATTAGGGATAAGGGGAGATGAGAGAAGAACTATAATATCTCATCTCCTAAGGAATCATACAATAATTGAACTTCCTTTCTATTAGTTGATAATCGTTATCAGAATCCAATCAGATATATAATATATCTTACATAATTAAATAGTATTACATAATCTAAGATTCTCCCACTTGACTCATTAATTAGTAATATATAAAAGAAATTCCAAATCAAAATTTGTTTGAAAACAACTTTACCTAGTTGGATTCTAAAAAATTTTAAAAATTATTTTATACATGGTCACAAATTTTAAAACAAGCTAATAATTTTAATAGGTATAATAATACTATATTAATCCTAACTACCAATGTAAGTCATAACGATTATATGTCATCAATCTCATACTCCCTTTTATGTACAATAACATTATTAGTCTTTCCTAATAGAGTCCATAATGACCCCTAAAATTTATCTTATCAAAACAATCATATTATTACATTCAATTATAATATGCATAAACCAAATAACTTTAATTAAGTAAAAAATCAATAATAGCATCTACCTAAATATGCATCACTATATCTTTGATGATTTGCTCATAAGTCTCGATCTAATGATATATTCTTTAAAATATTTTAGATTACAAAACTTTAGTAAATGAATCAGCAATCATTAAGGTGATACTCTTATTTTCAATTAATACATGTTGTTTCTGGACTCTTTATCTAACCATCAAGTATTTTATCTTAATATGTTTATAACCACTAGAGTACTTATCATTCTTAGATAAGAAAACTATTATAGTGTTATCATAAAATATCTTTAGTGGTCTGACAATTGAGTCAACCACACTGAGTCCTGATATGAAATTTCGTAGCTATAAAGTTTGATTTGTGACATCAAAGTATGTTATAAATTCAACATCCATTATTGATGATGCAATAAGCGATTACTTTATACTTTTTCTAGAAATTACATCTCCAACTAAGATGAATATAAATCTTAAAATGTACTCCCTACTATCGAGATAATTTACAAAATTAGTATCTAAATATCCTATTACATCAAGCTGATCTGACTTTCTATATGTGAGCGTGTAATCTTTTATCCCCTACATACATCTCATTACTTTCTTTCTAGCTTTTTAATGTTCTATTCCTAAATTGCTCTGATATTTACCTAGTATTACAATCGTAAAATTGATATATGGTCTTGTATAAATTTGAGCATATAATAGACTTTCGACTACGCATGCATATGAAATATCCTTTATTTGATTTATTTCTAAATCATTTTTCGGACACTAACTTTGATTGAATCTTTCACCTCTAGTAATAGGTGTATCATTAGCCAAAACTATATATTAAATCTCTCTAAGACTCGGTCAATATATTCTTTCGGAGAAAGTCCTGGCAATCCTTGAGATCTATCATTGAATAACTCAATATCAATAACATACGTTGCATCATTCATATCAACCACATTAAAATTTACAGTGAGAAATATATTTGTTTTGTAAAAAAAACAAGATAATTACCAACAAGTAAAATATCATACACATATAAGACCAATATAATAAACTTGCTTCCACTAATCTTCAGATATATATGAACTGATAAATAATATTTTTCTTAAATTTGAAGAAAATAATGGTATCATAAAAGTTTATATATCATTATTCAAAAGCTTGTTTAAGGCCATAAATAAATTTTTCAAGTTTGTAAGCCCAACTCTTTTTTTTTTTTTTTTTATAAAAACCTTTAGGTTGTTATTCCATATAGATTTCCTCATCTAAATCCACATTTAGAAATATTATTTTCATATCCATATGATGTAACTCAAGATCATAATGAGCTATTAATATTTTCATATCCTCAATGAGTCCTTTTTAGAAACTAAAGAAAATGTCTTGTTATAGTCGATGTCTTCTTTCTGAGAAAAACCTTTGGGCACAAGTCATCTTTATGATAAAAATCTTTATCCATTAAGTCATGTTTTATTTTAAGGACTCATTTAAGTTATCCTTTGAGCACAAGTCATGTTTTATAATTATTAGGCAATTCAACAAGTATCTAGACACTATTTTGGTCCATCGATTTTAACTATTCTTTCATCATATCATATCACTTTTTAAAATCATTAATTTTCATAAATTGTGAAAATGATAAGGGGTCCCTTTTTATTCACATGTCATAATCTAATTCTTGTAGATATACCATATAATCATCAGAAATGATATTTTTTTTCCTTTGAGATTTTCTCAAAACTATCGGTTGTGATTGTTCTATAAGATCATCAATAGCGACATCAACATCATGTGAGAGTTCATCAATGTTTTTTTATTATTTACCCTCATCAATTCTCTTAGTGATTTGAGAAGCAACAATCTCTCGAATAGGAGATGATAAAGGAGAATTAACCTATATCTCCTCGATATCAAAAATTGATCCTTCGAGATTTTTTACTCATATTGATTTTAACATTTTCTAATAATCTTGCATTACTAAATTTTACTATCGCATACTATATTTAGAATAATAAAATATATCCCTTAAATTTTTTTGGATAACTAATAAAATATCTAGAAATAATTCTTAGATCTAATTTTTTTATATATGAATTTAAGATTTTTATCTTTGTACAACACCCTCAATTATATAGATGTCTCGTACTAGATTTTTTATCCATCCATAACTCCAATAGAGTTGATGGAACCAGTTAGTAGGAACCCTTTTCAATATATATATAGCTATCCTAAGAGCTTTAGCCTATATTGACCTAAATACAGAGAATAGCTCATCATGCTCCTAATCATATCCATAAAATTATGATTTAGTCTTTCAACAACATCATTCTGCTATGACACACCTAGTAATACATACTGAACACAAATATATCATTTTTCTAGGAATCTAGTCAAAAGACTAATATTCTGATTAGATTTATCATATCTATTATAAAATTCACCACTCATATCAAGTTTGATAATTTTAACTTTTTTTATTGAATTGTCTCTCGATATCATTTACATAAACTTCAACAGTGTTAAATGCTTATGGATTTTCATGTATATATATAGATATGTGGACAGGTTATCTAAAAATGTGATAAAATATTTTTCTCCACTAAAACAAGGAATATAGAGTGGTCCGTAAATATCGGTATGAATAATCTCAAGGAGCTCTTTAATTCTTATAGTATTTTTCTTTGTATTCTTAAAATATCAAAATCAACAAAGTTTAAATCTTCCAAAATATTATTCTTTACTAAATTTTTAATTCTTTCCTTGGAGATATACCCCAATCTTTTATACTATAATATAGAAGATCTTTTATTATTGAAACTATGTTTTAATCCAACATTTGATTGCAGGGTCACTAATAACTATAAAAACTCGATATAAATTAACAATATACAAACCATCATATAGAATTTCATAATAAATTTTTATTAAATAATAAAATATACAGAGTTTATTATTACCAAAAGAAAGACAATATCCTAACTCATCAATTCTATATAGAAAAACTAAATTTTCAAAAATAGTAGAAAAATAACATGTGTCAGCAAGATCTATCAAATGATCCATCTTTGAGCATTGGTGATAAGTTCCTATTAATATTATTTTTGCTTTGAGATAATTTCTCATAATTTCAAATTTGTCATGTTCTTTTAGTTTTTGGGTTAAAAAAAATCCTTGCATATTAGTGATAACATAAGTTAAAGCAACAAAATCAATGCATAAATTATTATAAGGAACTTATATAATGTTTGATTCAAAATACAGAACGATCAAGTTTATACCTTTCTTTTCGAACTAAGTCTTGCATTTAACCTTTACAGATATCCTTTCTTGCCACAAAAGTAGCATTTTACTATGATAGTTTTCTTTTCATTAGTCTGCTTAATATTTCTAAACCCGATAAATTTATTTGATGGATGATTCTTCAATCTTCTTTTTTTTCTTACCA